GGCTTTGATCAATGTATTTGGTTGAGATAAAACTTAATTGTTTTTAAAAAAAATTGATAAAAGTTGATAAAATGTGTGGTTGTAAAGTTATGAAGTCCAGAAAATGTGTGGTTAAAATTAATTCTTGACTTTTGTAGCTGAACCAAATAGAAATTGGGGCCAAACAAACACGGGGATTCAACTAAGTCATTTTTTTTATATTTAAGCTTAATTATTTGTTTTTAATTACATTTGAAAGCTATAAATTTCAAGATTAGAAATTCGAAGAAGTATATAAAATGGGGAAAAAACTTAAATCCATTTACCATGAAGTTCTAACCAACTCATTCATGCATTCATTTTTGGTATAAAAAGTTTTCTAAGAAAATGTGTAACAATGGATCAAAATAGGTCGAGCAGAGATTATTTACTTCTTTTCTTCATATATTGTTTAGTATTGTTCAATAAAACCTATTGAGCGAGAGAATATAACCATGCACAAGAGCGAGGTTTGAATTATGTTGCGGACATTTTCTGAATATGCGTGATTTAGTAATAATAACTTGTAACTAGGATGTTAAGTGGGGCGAACCGCCCATCAGCTTAGCCCTCCCCACTAACGAGCCGAGCAATGATTTTTCCAAGCGAGCTGCTCGTCGACTCGTCATACGAATAATTTATGTATATACTGAGCTAACGATAAACAAGATTTGTCTCACCCCAAAAAAAAGTGACTTCTTGAAAATGATGTACAAGTTGACAACAAAAAAACACAATGGATTGGTTTCAGAGAAGAAACAACAGAGACAGATAAGGGAGACATTAAAAATGGCATGTATGATATCACAATATATGCTGATGTCCATGACACGAAGATAGAGATACGCAAGTACAAACTGCACGTGAACTATCAAACAAATTCAAGGAGTCAAATGTCATTATTCGATCAATTCCATCCAGTAATTTTCCAATGGTCTTGAATCTTTTGAATTAATAAAATAGAAAGAGTAGTTTAATTTTGAGCAATACATGTCGAGCGAGTAGCTTAAAGAGGCAATAGCAGGGTTGTCTTCAATGAAGAAAAAAGGTTGTGAAATTGAAGCAATAGGTATAAATTACGCAATCCATGCACACAAAAGAGAGATTTTTAGCACAAGAAAACAGCAAGAAAATGTACCTAAAGTTGTGCTCAAAGATGTTAATTTAAGAGCCAAACCATGGGAAGTTCTTGCCATTGTTGGTCCAAGTGGTGCTGGAAAGTCCTCATTGCTCGAAATCCTTGCCGGAAAAGTTACGCCGCAATCTGCATCCGTTTATGTCAATGAGAAGCCATTTGATAAAGCTCGGTTCAAGAAGATTTCTGGCTATGTCACTCAGAAGGATACGTTATTTCCACTTCTTACTGTTCAAGAAACCTTGACGTTTAGCGCAAAACTGCGGTTAAGGCTCCCGGGGGCGGAATTGAGGTCAAGGGTGAAATCGTTGATTCAGGAACTGGGCTTGAGTCATGTAGCCGGAGCACGAGTAGGGGACGACAGGGTCCGGGGGATTTCCGGTGGAGAGAGGCGGCGTGTGTCCATTGGTGTGGAGGTGATACATGAGCCCAAAGTGCTGATTCTTGACGAACCAACTTCTGGACTTGATAGCATTTCAGCTCTTCAGATCATCGACATGCTTAAGGCCATGGCCGAAACCCGGGGCCGGACAATAATTCTTAGCATTCACCAGCCAGGATTCAGAATCGTGGAACTGTTCAATTCGATTCTCTTGTTGGCTAATGGCTCTGTTCTGCACCAGGGATCGGTGGATCTACTGTCTGTCAACTTGGGGCTGATGGGATTAGTCCTTCCTACACATGTAAACGTGGTCGAATTCGCCATAGAATCCATTGAAGCAATTAAACAAACAAATAATGTGCAGAAGGAAACGCAGTCCCAATTGCCATCAATTCCACCAAACAGGAAAATTGAAGGTGAAAGCAGAACTGGCAGGTGTACTCTGCAACAACTCTTTCAACAATCCAAGGTTATGGACGAAGAATCCATCGATGCTGAAATCGATTTTCGAACTGGTTTCACAAATTCCAGATTGTGCGAAACCATTATTCTGATGCAGAGATTCTGGACAAACATTTACAGAAGCAAAGAACTGTTTGTGTGCAGGACAATTCAAATGCTGGTATCTGGCATTATTCTGGGCTCAATCTTTTACAATCTTAAAGACAGTTTAGTTGGTGCAGAAGAAAGAGTGGGACTATTTGCATTCATTTTGACATTTTTGCTTTCAAGCACAACCGAAGCCCTGCCAATTTTCCTGCAAGAGAGGGAAATACTAATGAAGGAAACCTCTCACGGCAGCTACAGAGTATCATCATACGCCATTGCTAATGGTCTTGTTTACTTGCCATTTCTGCTTATTCTCGCAATATTATTCTCAGTACCGGTATATTGGCTGGTGGGATTACACCACAGTTTCACAGCTTTCGCCCATTTCTTGCTGCTAATTTGGTTGATTCTCTACACAGCAAATTCAGTAGTAGTATGTTTCAGTGCATTGGTGCCAAATTTCATTGTGGGGAATTCAGTAATATCAGCAGTTATGGGATCATTCTTTCTGTTTTCTGGGTACTTCATATCGAAACATGGGATCCCAAATTACTGGATTTTTATGCATTATATTTCCTTGTTCAAGTATCCATTTGAAGGGTTGTTGATAAATGAGTTCTTGGATTCGAAAAAGTGCTTGGATTACATGTTTGGAACTTGTGTAGTGAGTGGTGAAGATGTGCTCAAAGAAGAAGGCTATGGAGATGAGAAAAGTAGGTGGAGGAATTATGTGATAATGGTGTGCTTCATTTTGGTTTACAGGTTTGTTTCTTATCTCATTCTCAGGTGTAGATGCTCACATAGAGGAATCAAAGGGATCCTCATTTGAACGCCAACGTTAATGGTAGCGCTCCGCTCTATCGAGTCGCCAACGATAAGTTAAAGTTTGGTTTACAAGTGCTTGTCACAAGTCAGTTTCAAGTGAGTTCTGTTCACAAGTCGGAGTAGTTGTGGTCGGGCGACGAAGCTCTCCCTCTACAACTTCATTCCTTTGATCCTTTCCCCTTTTTTTTTTCCTTGGGCAATTCAGAACAGTGTGTTTATGTAATTGCCTAATTGTTCTTGTTATTGGATCAGGGTTACATAAAACAGATGGATTAAAGTCAAATTATTATTGAATAAAAGAATTTTGTGGAAGAAATTCTTTTAAAAATCTTATTGTTCAAACTACATGCATGTAGAGTATTGATTAATTTGTTCCTAAAAGATATTGAAAATGCGGTAATTTATTTTAATCAAATCACATTACGTGGGTATTTCATTAATAATGAAAAGAGAGTTACATTTGAGAGGGGGCATAGACTAAAGAATAATGCTACTTGAACATGGGTTTTTGACAGGATTTGTTGACAGGTGATGCGTGCGTAGCAGCACCTATACGGATGCTTCTTCTTTTTTTCTTTCTGTCCTGACACGTGTCCCCTTGCTAAAAATCCTATCGTTGAGCCTGTTGCTATAGCAGGGTTGTAGACAAATTATAAGAATAGTAAATAATCCCATCCGAAGATGGGTTGTATAATGAAACACGAGAAATAAATCTATGAACTCATGATGGCGCATCCCTGGTGAGGTCATACTTCTAGTCGTCATATATTTTGTGCAATACATGTCTTCATCGTAATAGTAGGTGCGCTTAGGATCACTAGCCAGGGGAAGTGCTCCCGTCTATGGGAGGGAGCTCCAGATGAAAAGGCGAGACCTCATGTCGGATCTGACCGAACTTGTTAACAAAAGTGTACACACCTCAAGCAACAATTTGGTTACTTCGTAAGGTTCTCAAACTACATTATCCAATGTTCAAGTCAGTCAGTCAGCCAACCAGCCAGCTCAGGCTAGCTTTTAAAGATTTCGATTTCTATTTCTAATCTTAAACGAATTTAAAAATTCAACGAATGGAAAATTTTAAACTACAAAAATTGAAGTATCAGTCACATAAATTCTTCCATTCCAGCTAAGAATGTGTGGCAAGCAGAGTTTCAGTGATTCACATGTCAATAAAATTCTATATCCAAGTGCAAGTTGCAAAGCCCGTGAATGTGATGCAAGATTTATTCACGTGCTGAGTCTGTACAAGTGACAAACTAATTTCACGGACACTTCCATTGCTGTTTCCACCTTGTCTATTTCCGTACACATTGCACCACGCACACACATACATATGCAAGGATTATGTATAAAGAATGAGAGATATTCACAGAGACAGCCAGGACCAGTCACTCATATTTATCTTCTGGGCCACAATTTTTCTTGAGAAAATTAAACATGACAACATTTGAATACTTTGTTTTATCGTCAAAAAAAAAGCTAAAAAGGAAAACCGATCTTCCTCCTCCCCAAACTCGGCCGCTACTTCCCCCATTCTGAAACTGCCCACATATTGACGAGGGAGAGAGACTAATTTAGGGGGAATTGGGGATCAGCAAGAGAATGGATTTGAAAGCTCAGCATGACTGAAGCATAACTAAACTACCAAGAATAACTCAAATCAGTTATAAATGGTCGGTAAATTATTCGAGAAAGTAAAGAGTTTCTGCAGCAAAGACTGGCTAAATTTACATAACGGTCTAGAAACTTAAAGTAGGCAAAAATTTGAACACCAAAAAATCACAGGACACTAACCAATGTCAAAGATATTTTTTAATTAAATACTTTAGATGCTAAAAATGATGCATATTCAGATAATACAAAACTAGAACATACAAAAAGATTGTGTTTCCATTAACTGAAAATAGCTAAATGAATGTCCTGGAGGAAGGGAGTCCACCTTAAACGCTGAGTAGAGCATAATTCTTGGAAGCTCGAGTAAGCAAAACTTATATCGAGCAGATGGTATAAACCAGTTTGACTTTGAATATAGAATGGAACAATACTCTAAAGCAAAAGTCTTTCTAATCAGTTGTACCAAAAAATTGATGATTATCTGACAGCAGCAAATAGTGGTATTTCCAATTCTTGGAGCATGGTAAGTTCGGCCTTATTCTGCTCCTCATCAGCATCCAAATCACCAACATCTGGAGCATATCCAGAAAGTTTCATCATATTAGTTAGCAATTTCAATAGTGAATATATTTCTTTCTTTTGTGAATGCCTCTTATCTTTCACCAAGAAAACATGCATCTGGCCCCCTATTTCAATCCAACTACAACCAGGCTGTTTGTTGACACCATGCTGTTTCATGAGTTTCCGAACCTTTGTAACATCTCTCCACCTCCCAAGTTCAGCATACATGTTCGAGAGAAGAACATAAGGACCAGAATTGTCAGGATCAATTGCTAAAAGTTTCTCAGCCACAAATTCCCCCAATTCAATGTTGTGGTGAACCTTACAAGCAGCAAGCAGAGATCCCCATACAACGCCATCAGGAGGCATTGGCATTGACTCTATCAGATTCCTAGCTTCACTCAGGTAACCAGCCCGGCCAAGTAAATCGACCATACATGTATAGTGATCTTTCAGAGGCATTAGGCCATATGTTTTGGTCATCGAATCAAAATATTGACGACCCTCCTCAACCAGTCCTGCATGACTACATGCACAAAGAACGCCAATCATAGTGACATGGTCTGGTTTCTCTCCAGATGCCAACATTTCCTTAAACAAGTGGAGCGCTTCAGTCCCATGCCCATTTTGTGCATATCCAACTATCATGGCGTTCCATGAAACCCAATCTCTTGCAACCATGTTTCTGAACACCCAGCTCCCGTCTTCAACCGATCCACATTTCATATACATATCTATGAGAGAGTTACCAACAAAAACATCAGGCTCCGGTCCATACTGGAATCGAAATCCATGCTTCAAAATGTGGACGTGAGCTTGCCTGCCGAGCTTCAAATCAGCAAGACTTGCACAAGCATTGAGGAGATTCCCAAAGGTATAGTGAGTTGGCAATACAGATTCCCTTTTTAAAAGAAGGAAGAGTCCTAGTGCCTCTTCATTGTCCCCATTCTGAGTATAGCCGGCAATAAGAGCATTCCAAGATACAACATTCCTCTCCATCATCTTGGTAAACATGGCTCTCGCATTTTTCACGCTTGCTACCTTTGCATAACCACTAACCATGGAGGTCTCGGACACCACATTTCGAATCGGCATCCTATCAAATATCCACCTAGCTTCGTGAATTCTATTGCACTTTGCATACATATCCACCAATGCATTACATATTACTAGATCATCCCGGAACCTATCAAACTTCACCACTCGGGCATGAATTTCCCGGCCTTCTTTGACCATACACAGGGTGGCACAAGCACTCACCACACTAGCCAGTGTCATCTCATCTGGCTCAACCTTCCAATCCATCATCTTCATGAAAACCTCAAGTGCCTCACTTGCAGGCCCATTTTGTTCATAACAAGTGATCAAACTATTCCAAGACACAGCATTACGCTCACTCATCCTGTCAAAAACCTTCCGAGCAGAGTCTACATTCCCACATTTTGCATACATATCAATAAGTGCAGACCCCATGTAAACATCCAATGAGTATCGCGACTTAACCACTGAAGCGTGAATTTGGGTACCCATTACCAAGTCCCTCAACCCAGCACAAGCACTAAGCCCACTGCCATAACTGTATTCATTCAACACAAAATCCTTCCCGTGCATTTCCACGAAATACTCTACCGACTTATCAAATAACTCGTGCTGAGCAAACCCCGAGACCATTAAATTCCACGAGCACTGGTCAGGCTGAGGCATTGAACTAAAAAGCATTTCAGCTTCAGTAACAGAACCCAATATGGTCAACGTCCCGATCATCGAGTTATAAGTAAAGGTGTTCCTATCCGGCATTTTATCAAACACTTCACGAGCGTAGTCAAAGCACCCACATTTTCCATAAGCATCAATGAGCCTATTGTTGATGAAAATCTCATCACTGAACTGGGATTTGATAATTTGGGAGTGGACAGTACGGGTATCGCGCGATGACTTGGATTTGATGCAGGCGTCCAAGAGCTTTGCAAATGGTGAAGACGAGTTGAGGACTGTGAGTTTATTACCAAGTAATGCATGTCTTGCCATTCCATTACAAAATGATTATACACTGTAATGGACATGTTTTGGGTTTAAAGCTTTAAGAATTTTGAAATTTTAGCATTTGCCAATATGGTATAAATTATAATAGCCATTGAAATTCTTGAAACAAAAGGCAAACTTGGATATGCTGATGTGCTTTTGATTATAATTATAAATATTCAGAAGGAATTAGCAGTCAAGGTTTTTGAACAATTCTGCACTTTAACTAGTTAAATTAGCAGTCAAGATTCAAGATAAAAGCATCTTCCAGTTCTAGAACTTCAAACAAGAAGTTTCTTGTCAAATACTTCAAGCAATTTTAAAAGATTAATGTTGTTGGAGGTTAATGTAGGTGTAGCATATCATAGTTTATTTTAGATGAGTAATAACTTTTTTTTTTTTTTTTTTGTATTTAATTGAACCTATAATTTAATGTCAATAATTTTGTCACCTAAATTGATGTTAAATATCAGTGATATTAGCTAACGTTACTCATTTTAATAAGTTCGACTTCGGACTTTACTCGACTATGCTCATGAATAGCCATGTCTTATTGCTATATATGGAAGTATAGACCGTTATTCTTTGAGCTTCGTTCGTGTAAAATTATTTGTATAATTTTCCTATACCTATAGCATGATTCTTTGTCAATTGTTGGATATTTCAACTTTTTGCAGTTGTCACTCGTATAGATCAACTTGGACCAGATATTTTAGGATTCTACGTCATGTGATGTCCTAGTCATGACTCATTCTTCCGGATAATGAATTTTTAGTGAAAAATAAAAAGTAATAATATTGTAGAATACTAGTGTGTATAGTCGTTGTACAAAATCAATATTTGTTTAATAAATATTCATTTAGGACAGTTTATGAATTTTATTCTTGTAATTTCGATTTTGCCATAATTCGTCTTATAATAAAGAGAGATTTGAGAAAATAGAATGTACGATTTTGTCTTATAAATTTCGTTTTATCATAGATAAATACTGTAATAGCAAAAGAAGGCTAGTCTCACATTGTGACGAACTTTTATAAATCTTGCATTTTCTGTTGTCTTTATTTCCTTATTGCGATTGAATTACTCTTGATGGTATAAAATTAGAGCTTCTAATTCTCAACATATGTAAGAGAAATTTTAATAGTATATGTTATCTTCCTTAATTTTCTTGATGATAAACTCTCTTTTGTATAGGCATGCTTATTAAGAGTGTGTCTCGCTCAGCTTTTTTTGACTCTTTTAATTGATTCTTTTATCATTTATTTCTAATCGTGGGACCCGCATGTGAGATGAGAAGTCTAATATTGTGGGTTGAGTAGATGATTAACGGGTGAAAAAATATTTGTCAAAAAGCTCAACCAGACACATTCTAACATGGCTAAAGGGCGACCAAGAAGACTTGCAGCCATAGTGCTAACTGCCAAGCTCAGTATCGACCCATATGGTGTCCCGATGCATGACCGCTCACTTTGACACCACTAAATTACATATGATAAGCGGAGTGGAATAACTTGTAAGGTGGGGAACACCTTTTCTAGAACACATTTTCAAATTCTAATCATCCCATTGTAGACGGCAAAGACTTCGAAATAAGTAAACTTTGAATACTTGTTTGTTGAAAATGTCATTTACTTTGTCTTCCACACAATATATACATGCATCAGGCCTACTCTTAAGGTCTTTCTAATCACCGTCTCCTTTCATTTTTATCAGGAAAAAGCTACTAGCTAGCATTTCCCAATGACAGGAGGATCAAGTGATTTTGAATTTTGGGTTGAAAAATCACCAGAGGATCATACAATTTATGACGATTCCGGGGATACTGAGGATCAGTTCCTAGCTTGTTCTCCTCCATTGTGGACAAGGACATCAAGAAGCTTTCCACATGAAGCTTATCCTTTGCTTCCATCCAACCACCATCATAGTTGTTCGTCTCCAACTTCAAGAATACGGGCCACTGCCAATGCGAGAAGGGAGCTCATGGAGATGATTAAGGACATCCCGGAATCTTCATATGAACTATCATTGAAAGATATAGTAGAAGATAAACTCAGCAAGGAGAAAGAGAAAAATAGAACAATAGTAGAAGAAAGGAATTCGAACAAGACAAAAACTAGAAACTCAACAAAGAGTAAAACTGCAGGGAGAAGTCAAATATCAAGGACTCCGAGCATGGAAAGTGGAGTTTTCCTTCTAAAGATGCCCCTCCCAATCCCTCTAAGTCCTAAAAAGAACTTGAAGGCAAGAAACTGCACAAAAATTTCTCCAGGACCACCATCCGAGGGATCTGAGAAACACGCTAATAAAGATTGGTGGAAGATGATATTTTCATCCGTAAAAGACAGAAATAAAACGTGTAATATCAGAAGAAGTTCAAGTGACAAAACTAGCAGCAAAACCAGGTACGAATTTACTAATCCTTTGCTCTGAGCATCATTAGTTCTCATATCACGAAGTGAACATCAGATAAATTAGGAACATCACATCAAAAGATAAGCTGATAAAATAGTAATAAGACAGAATCAGAAATAATTGTGGATCAGATAAATAATTTGATCGGTCGCACATAGGCTCATGCATATGCACAGAGTAGCTTTGACTGATAACTGCTAAAAACACCGTCCAGAACTACTCTTATGGTATGTTTGGTGAGATGAGTTAGTTAGCATTGAACAATGATTTAAGTGAGAAAAATTATCCACTATATTGTCTAGTACAATACAACTCGTCCCATATATGCACTGAATGTTTGAGCGTGTGTAAGCCTTTAGCACTAAACAGCTTTAACATCATGCAGTATGGTTGAGAGCAACTTCATGCCTCGACAGCTGTCCCTGACCAGTAAGAAATACAAGTCAAGTGGACAAAGAGGGTGCTTGTTCTGAATAGAATAGCAGTGGAAGCAAAAGAAAGGAGCATAAGAGACAGATCTCACATTGAAATCCAGACGTGCAAGCAGCTGATGGCCTCAAGGGAACTTCTCTCCAGACAAAGACCATCCAGAATTAGATTTATGCTGTATTTGTAAAATATATACTGGCAAAATATTAAAAAAAAATCTCTGACCAAACATTATATAGAAAATAATCATTCGACTAGAAGTTAGTAATTTTTCCAGATTTTGGGTTTGTTTGAGAGATTTTTTCAAGTGAAAAATGTTAAAAAGTAGGGAAAAGTAACATGTCCCATGGAATTTGTGGTTGAGAATGATTTTAAAAAATCTCTCCCAAACAAATTCTGAGAATTATGTGGGGTCATCTTCCAATTTCAGTACAGAAACTAAAGCTTATCAACAAAGAAACAAAATGAGCCAGAAAAATCTTCTAGGTGTCAATGTTGGAACATCTACCAATAATGTATCACAATGATCTGCATAACTTATATATTCCTTAACAAAGAAACAAAATCAGTGAATGTCATATGCTAAATTGAGCCACAGTGCTTGCGAACAATAATAAACCTTGCACTTTCCTATTGCCCATACATCTGCATGGTGTATTCATATAAAGAACATAATGAAAGATGAGACTTCGGACATGTCCTGCCAGACAACAAGAATAAGGTGTTGAATTCTTCCTAAAATTATGAATCATCATCTTCAATGTCCATCAAAACAGCCCCTCTCACTTTTGCCCTGCCAGATGATATATGTCATCAAAATGAAGTTCCTATGATAGACAAAAACAAATTGGATATACTATTAACCTGCGGTGTGCCGGTACAACACGATTAGGGACTTTTGTTGAGTTTTGGTTTTGAGTAATTTGGTTTTCTGCAAGTAATAATGAAATGAACATGAGAAGTGAGAGGTGACATATATGGAGAGAGCATTCTCAGTCAATACAGACTAGTAATTTATGAAACAGGCAAACACAATACTTATAGCTTCATAATATCTGATGCATTTTTTAGGTTAAACATTAATATTATGAAGTTATTTAAATATAGATGGTGATGGAGATGTATTCAGGCTTGAAGAAGAAATCAGTCTCCATAAAGAAGTGATCATGCTCTTCGTTAAGCATACCTGAAGCATCTTGTGGGCTCGAAGCCAATTTAGAATCTGAGTTTTCTGTGTCCATCTTTTGGGACTTGTTCTTTCTCGAATACAGCATATTCTGGAGACTGTTATTCTTTTCCTGGCAAACAAAATGGAGAAAAGAGCTTACAGAAGAGTAAACTGGTGATCATAAATGTGAGAGAGAAAAAGGCCATAGCATGTTGACTTTAACTATTAGCATCGTTTTTTTATTTCTTTGATAATCTACTTGTAAATTAAATTTAACTCATTACTTAGGCTGGTAATATATTATTATTTAATTATAAAAAGTTTCCAAGAGTAAATGGAGGAATGTGTACCACTTAATTGACCTACAGGTGTTGCTTTCAGTTATCAGATTGAGAAACCCAAACATACAAAATACTGCTCCATGTTGTATCTAAACAATACCCATTTAGACAGCTAAGAGGAATTTTATAACAAAAAAATTTAGCCTATGTTTGAGTCCCAACTTTTTGTTGAAAATGAGTTTTGTAATAATGAATTTTCGGAGAATGTGTGATTGAAAAGTACGAAAAAGCTTTCGGTTTACATGTGAGACTATGTGGTTGAAAAGGAGTTCAGGAAAAATGAGTTTTTAGATAACGAGGATCAAACGGGGGCTTAGAGAAATAGTAGTTTCACATTAATAAACAAGAGGCAAGATATGGTAAGAAATTATTCAGTTCTAACCAATTTGTCAGATAACAATAATCAGTTCATTGTTACAAGATGATGTAGCAGCCTTTCAAACTTTATTTCCCATGCATCAAATGAGGTATAACACCTAGTAACTATATTAGGCAACCTCGTGTGAACGCAAAGATATTACTTAGATTTACTTTCATGTAAACATCCAATATCAAAGGTAAAAACATTCTCCTTAACATCTCAATGCAACAAGTTAAGCATCAAATTGTCAGCGAATAACAGATAAAGATGGATCAACAACGAAGTTAAGATAAAAGAATCAATTTACAGTCAAAATATGATATCAAGGACAAGTGCTAATACCCGTTCAGCAGCTACAACTATGGTCAAGTTAAGTGAACACTCTTGCTCTGTAAGATACAATAACAGACAGAAAAAATAGTTAGGAGAAACAGGGGAATAAAAAAAGCTACACTTGCAGTTCATGGCACAACAAGGGGGAAATATTAGGTGACACACAATATGTCAAAAATTATAGTGATATGCAGCCAATAAATATTAACGCAGATCCATACTATCTATGAAATGTGCACAAGCACAAGAGGTTTACGGTTTGAAGACAAAAGTAACCCCATTATATAAATACTGATGTTAAAAGTTGATTGAGTAATCCAGTGAAATTCACTTCATATAGTAGATAATCACAATGAAGATTATAGTAGGTGGATTTAACTTTTCTATTTTGGTTATTTGTAATCCTATAAATAAGGTCATTCACTTTGTAATGAAAAGAAAGAGTTAAACAAATTTTCAATTCCTCTTCGTATTTCTGTCTCAATTACTTTCACTCCATAATTTCTAGGAGCAATGAATATGATAGATAGCACTAAGAACCTGTTTGATTGCTCTTTCTTTTCCATAGAAGATGGAAATTAAAATTTATTTCCACATTTTTTAATGTTTGATTGACTAAATTTTTCATGAAATTGGTTTTTCACAATTTCTTGGTTTTTGAGGAAAAGCTTTTCTCATGGGTTTGGCAGGAAAACTTTTTTTTTTTTTTTTTNTATTTTCAAGTTTGTTTGTAAATTTTTTTTTTTTTTTTTTTGCAATTGAAACAAATTATATCCTTTTAATGGACAATTTTCATGGAAAACAAAGTCAAATGAACACTAAAAGATCCAAAATTTCAATATTTTTCAGGTGAAAAATTATACCATCAAACACAATTAATTGACAATTCCCAGTAAAACAAATTTTAAGCAATTCAATTCCCTGAAATTCATTTTCTTTCCACTCAAATTTCATTCTTGCAATCAAACAGACCCTAAATGAATCTTAGCTGGAATATCAGGTGAACCAAATCTCGGATAAGTATATGTTGGTATTAGAAACCTTATCCGAAACTTTATCCCTATTGAACTAAACATACCAAATGGTAGAACAATAACTACAAATAAATATGAGTCATGTGTTTCTATGGTTGTTTCATTCCCCTATTTGAGCACTCCTATGTCTATTTTTTAACTTTGGGATGTTTTCTGCTCTTTCCATTTTGTACAATCAAACAACATAGAAGAGTGTATGTCTTGCATAATGTATTGAACTTATTTCTTCTTCTTTTCCAGCAGTGTAGAATACAAGTTGTAGATATGGAAAAAATAATCTCTATCAATAGACCTGCCAAATCCACATCCCCTACCAAGTCCAAAGCATTTACTCGGTCTTTCATTTTTAAAGCGATTAACATTAATGAGCCGGCAACATTTCTATGCAATGGATTCACAACCTTCTGTATTGATACTTTCCTAGATACCTATGATCGACAATTTAAGGATTAAATGGAAAGTATTGCCAGAATATCATTAATAACTGGCTTGAAACAAGAAAGGAACACGTGTTACAAATTCAGAAAATAAATTACCTTCTACAAGTGATTTGTGAACATTCTTATACTCTTTGTAGAGCTCCATTGAAAGATTGGCCATAGCTTGACTAGCAGCAACATCCGAAAGTTTAGCAAGGGAAATAAACATCCGCGGCATTCCTTTTCCTTTTTGAGCAATTAATTTTGCATGAGATGCACCTGAGATAGGAAGCAAGTGAGATACACAAATTGAACGCATTTGAATTAAAAAGCCCGTGTCCCAGATTATAGAAACTGATTGTTAATGTCATATTAAATGCCACGCACTCAGCCATTAAGGCAGCATCTGTGTGCATCAGATGCCAAAGTCTATCTTTTTAGATGCAATTTTTTTCTGATGTGTCTCATAGGAATTTCTTTATAAGAAGCAGAAGTTCTCATAGGATTCATGCATTCAGGGAGCCAAGAGAGGTAAACACACGCGCTAAACAGAGCTTAAAATTGAATCAAAACTGACTAACAAAGGATATTAACTTTCTTTTAAGTTTTTTCGAATCAAGGTCATCCACTCTGGTCAAGAAATGTCTGTGAAACAATTGAAAAGCATTTTTGCACATTGGCACTAATAAATCCAGAATGTAACTCAAGTTATTTAAGTATGAAAAGCATACATCATTGTACAACTAAAATACATTAAACCTTAGATCTAGCTAAATTCTATTGCTTCAGAAGTAAGAGCAAGCTTGCCTAAGCTTTAGAAAAAGTTTTATTTTGAGTAACTTTTTGTAACCAAATATTCTTACATAATGTACTTTTTCCTTCCTTTTAAGGCCTTGTATGGGAGGGATTAAAATCAGATTAAAATTGAAAATATAGCCGTTATTGTTGACTTTTATTAGACGAGTGGGACCCAATAACGGCCATATATTTAATTTTAATTGGATTTTAATCCCTCCCAAACAGGCCTAAGTAAGAAAAGTTATTTTTTTGAAAGTAATGTTTACACTATCAAAATAACTTATTTTAAACTTTGCATACTAAATATAACTGTTTATTTTAAGACTTAAATAAACTTTTTAAGCTCAACTAAGGGTGTGTTTGAGCCACATTATTTTGAAAGAATGTATTTTGAAATAATAGATTGATGAAGAATGTGTGGTTGAAAATGAATGAAAAGTTATTGATGTAATGGAAAATATTATTTTATTGAAGAATGTGTGGTTGAAAATGAGTAGAAGAATGAGAATGAAAATTTTAATGTAACTCAAACGAGAGCTAAGTATACTCTAAATCTTAGTTACTAAAACCGGATCGGACAGCCAAAAAACCCATGACCTGACATGTTAAATGGTTTGGTTGTGGTTGATGACCAGATTGCAATTGATAACCCAATCAAACCAGCGGTTTTAGAGAAAACCTATTGTTGACCAGTTTTTTATAAATTTATTTTAGAATAAGGAAATCAAGAATTGAACTCCTTATCACGAGTTTGGAAAGTGAACAAGCTAACCATTGAGCCAAAGTTGATATCTTTACTTATTTATACATTTATAATGTGTATATTTCTACAAAGGAAATCATGTATTTGTTGCCATTTCTAAATCAAATTAAATCCTTTTTAATCTAAACCTATACAAAGATTACATAAAGTGCATATAAATATAAATTTAATAATCAAGTGCAAAAATTTGAAGAAAATATTTTACTAGCTTTTTAGTTATCAGAAAAAATCTGTTAATATGTACAAAGAACAAAAACATAGCAAAACTAAATGTTTTTCATTATTAAAATATTATAAGAAAAATATAAACATTATGGTAAAAAAATTAGTTTACAACAATAAAGTAAAATTAATGATAAAAAATTTAAAACTACCCATTTTTCTTAAAATGAATTTTCTATATTTTGAAAATTTTATATGATTTTACAAACACTGACCCAACAGTCCAACCACTAATCCAATGCCTTGGACGAGTCGATGCTCAAGTCAAGTCTAATAACTATGCTCTAAATAGAAAAAGAAATCCATGATGCGTGAAGAAGCATTCATCACTATACAAGTAAAATAAACATCTCTCTAACGAAGTGCTTGCTTAGCTAAGCTTATATATAAGTCCTTACAAGTAGTGAGTTCCAAGGAAAGTGTGGTGAAAAGTAGGTGAACGCTGTAAAAATAACATGACGTGTGGATAAAAATAGAGTTTGACTAGCTTATAAGTAAAGTATAAGCTTAGAGAAACCAGCACGTTCATCTTTGTCCTAATAGCAACAATCAATTGCAAGGGATGTCCGCTCATGTCTTGGTAAGACCAATAAATCAAAACTATTAATCGAAAGCCATCTTTGAAGAAAAATATCCTAAAGATAACCGCACATCAATTCATCAACAAAGCTAAAACAGGCAAATTCATTTTAGTAAGCATGTTTCTTCAACTACCACCAAGCTACTCACAAAAAAATACACAGAGCTCACACAACATTTGGAGGGAAGAAAAGAAAAAGAAGAAGATGGGTATGAGTAAATATTCTCTTCTAGGTTTTTATAATAGAAAAGCCACAATAAAAATGAAAGAAACTGACTTTCCACGAAAAAATAATAATTCTGTGTTGCTTTGATTTTATTTCACATTCTCGCAGACCAGGCAACACAAAAGGAATCTATTTAAAATAAACAAAAAAGGAAATAAAATTTTCTGTTTTCCACTTCCGTTCCTCTTATTCATTCTCTCAACTATGTTCTCTTCATTGCGAAACACACTGTTAAAATGATGTCCTCAAAACAATGAGCTTAAAAGTATTAATTACCTCCTGATTCTGATTGACCCTCCAGAATGAGCTTCACATCTTCAGATTTTATGGAAGCTCTAATATAATCAACAAATTCAGACCAGTTGCCACCAATTCCAATGTTATCTCTCTGTGCAAGAAAGGAGATGAGAAAATGACAATTATATCAGAAGTGAAATATAACAAGAATTTGGTAGGTTTAAAGTTAAACAAGTGAAAGTATCACAAGTAATAGTCATCTCTAACAAACGAACTGGGTCTATTTTCGGAAAGTTTGTCATGGAGAATCCTATTCCCTGTTTGGTTTAGATAAAAATTATTATTTTAGTAGATTTTGATAGAAGTTGATGAAATCCGTGGTTAAAATGTTGATAAAAATTGTGGGTCCAATGAAATATGTGATTGAAAATGAGTTTGAGGAAAAATGAATTAGGAAAATGGGGCCAAACAGGGGCTTAATGTGATAGATTTCAGGCCATTAATTTGTAAAAAATTAAGATAGCAAGTCCAATCCACAGTTGACAACAAATAATGAGCTTTACCAATAGTAATGCATTTTACAATGGAATAATAATTTCAAAATGAAATGACTAGGTCGTGAGCATCTAGAAAAGGCATTGGGCATACTTTCAGCTAACGCCATCGTGCACACATGCAAACATATCATGTCAGAGATTTACCTTCCTTATTTGCATTCTCTACTCATTGTGATGCAAGCAATTTGCTAGAGATTTAACTCCATATTCTTTCAAACTGATCTCTGTAATGTTCTTTAAGTCATAATACCAAATATAATATGTGGAAAACCGCAGGCTCAAATTAACAAAGAAAAGAATATTAACTTTTGCTGCAGGTAGTTCTAAGCAGAGTCAAAAGATCCTTATGAAAAACAGCAACTTTAATTGCAGATGCTCCTAAAAATAATAGAAAATATTTATTGAAATTGCCTGACAAATGATGGCTTTACTTAAATTGTGCAAACTCAAATCTATACAAAACAAATATCTTATCTGTTGTCAAGTGCAATGTTACAATTGTACTTCCATATATTACAAGCTGCTAGTCTATTTATGGAAAAAATTACAACAACAAAAGAGTTCTATGTATCTTCATCACTTGGTTTAATTTAAGGATACATTAGGTTTCAAGAATTTTAACACCATTAATCGAGATGTACTGAAATTCTTCCACTAATGACTAGATCCACTCTCTTGGACCTGTGGAAAGTAAAAGCATTTCAAGCTCTTCCTTTTGGAAACGGAGGATTCGGGAAATCCTTTTTTTTTTTTTTTTCATTTTTAGGCAATCTTGTCGCCAGCAGCTTTCTATAGGTAGAAACAATCAAATCAAATACTTAGTACACTGAAACCTCAATTTTTCAAATTACTAAACTTGCTTAAATGATAAAAAATTTCAGTCCTAACTCAGTCGATGTATTAAATTAGTAACATCACTAAGATAAAAAAAATTATTTAAAATCCTGTAGAGACTAACGCGTATATAAAATAAATAAATGATTAAATACATAAAAGTTCATAGTACATAATAAGAAACTGTACTTGACGACTTCTATTTTATCTATTCAACTCTTTCTCAGGATATGTATCTAAAGCCATTTGCTTTTTCTTTGTACCCAAACCTAACTCAACTCCATCCCTAAGTTTTTGGCAATGCATACATCACATTTGGTATAATTTTTATTATGACCTAGATCCTAATGCCCATTTAACAATCTCTTCATTATCATTTCATTTTGCTTTCATTTTCACCAACTCACGATTCAGAAGCATATCTCCATTTACCGAATCATGCAATGGTGAAAACAATTTGCACCCAATTTTTTTTTTTTTATTATTATTTACAAGTCCTAAATGTATAAAAGTATACATGTACAAGTAGTAAAAAACTAAAAATATAGAACACTTTTTGAATTAATAAATATTCATTTATCTAATTTATAAACTCTCTAAATAATAAGTTTTCTTAGTCCTGAACTAATATTTTATAGGGGTTTTAGTGTAGTAAGAGTTCGTTTGGCTGAACTTATTACTTCACCTAAAAGTAAATAAATAATAATAAATAATTTTTTTACTAGACAAAGTTAAAATTAAGCAAAAGTGATTATTCAAAAATCACTTTTCCCCATACTAGTTTTCAATCACACATTCTCCAAAAAAATTTACTTTTCAAATAATTATTTTCACTCAAGAACTAAATAAGTAAGTTATCCTGACAATATTGAAAAATTGCTTTTATAGTAACCTATTTACTTAAAAGTGGAAAAAAAAATGGAATTCCTAAGAGCATGTGTGGCTAAGCTTGAAAAAATTACAAATACATGACAAGTAAATTTTTAATTCATGGACATTAAAGATAAATAAGTTAGTTATTTAAAATTGACATAAAAGAAGTTACTTTCAATGAATAATATACTCATTCAAAAGTGACTTCTACTTGCTTTAAACTTAGCCAAACATGTATCGTCTTATAATGTTTGGAGTGAAACTTGACCTGACCAATAATTTAACTTTAGAGCCCCCATTGTTCCAGCGATATATCCACTGCTCAAAAGTCAAAACATCAAAAGATGAGGACGAAAAACGTTCATTTCAGTAATTGCACTTTACGCTGAGCGAAGCTGTAACGCTAGCATTTTTAAAAATAAACACCAGAATGATCGAAACTCGGCAATCACAACCCAAAAGAACGAAAAAGATTCAAGAAAAAGCAGCATTTACATGCATCCAATGCAGCGATTTTATCTATCACACACGATCCAGGTAAAAACCCAAATTAAAAAAATTAAAAATTTAACCAATAAAGTGAAAAACTGACCATGTCTTCGAGCTGATGACGGGACCTGATGGCCTCAAAGGTATTGGACTGGAAGTCAGTCACGATGATTCTGAGGCCAGAAGGGTCATTTTGCAAGCCGTGAACGCGAAAAAGAAAAGGCTCTAACGGAGTGGTGCTCGGTGCGGACCTGACTGCCGTTACTTCCCCGAATATCGGTGTCATGTCGCCAAAATCCATTTTTGCTCCCTTTTTTCCTGATTTATTATAGCACTGTTCTGTTTTCTACTTCTTTCTTTGAATTTATGTCAATCTTCAGCGTATGCAAGGAAGGAAAAGTGTAGCAGAATCGCAGAGCATAGAAGAACAGGGGAAGGGTTTATATAGGACACGAGAGAGACTAGAATTGGGACAAAAGGATGAATAAAAAATTGGATTTGGTTTGAATGTCTTTGTACCACGAGCTTCGAATGTGTTGAATGTTTATGGATTATTTTGGTGCTTAATAGCACAAAATATCGTTGCGTTTGGCATGTACTGTGCAAAACATTTTAAGTTATATTTTTTTACATTTTCATCCTTATTTCAATGTTTCATTGTAGGAAGCATCATTTTTCACTTTTTTTTATTGTAAAATGATAAATATATCCTTCTATGTAAATAAAAAAAAAAGGAAAAGGAAAAGAAAAGAAAAGAAAAAAAATAAAAAAATAAATTGTAATTATACTCCCAAACTTTTTAAAAAATGCAAGTGAGTCGAAAATACTTATTGAAAGGTTTAAGCACAAAATGTTTATACGTTTGAGACTTATTGCGAAAAATGTCCTTACGTTTCAAACTTTTTGTATTTGGCTCAATAGCACAAAACATCCATACGTTTAACACTTATTGTATAAAATGTCATTGCATTTCATTTATTTTGCATTTTCGTCCTTATTTCAACGTTTCATTGCGGAAAATGTCATTTTCACTATTTTTGAATGTTAAATGACCAATATACCCTCATATTTAAATAAAATAATAAATATAAATAAAAAAATAAATTACAATTATACTCCCAAACTTTTTAAAAATTACAAACGAGTTCAAAAACTTTATTAAAACATTCAAATCATCAGTCTTCTCCTCCTTCCTCAGCCTTATCCTCCCTCCATCACCTAAACCACCAGATCCCACCACCATTCAAACAATCTCACCTCCCTCTACAATGATGGGGCTAATTGTTGCGGCCAGCATTAACGGTGGTGATGGTAGTAGAGGTGGTTCCCGGCCAAACATTGATCGGATGGTATATTGGTCATTTTTTTGTTTTATTTAAATATGAGGGTATATTGGTCGTTTTACATTCAAAAATAGTGAAAATGACGTTTTTTGCAATATAACGTTGAAATAAGGACAAAAATGCAAAAGAAATGAAATGTAAGGATGTTTTACGCAATAAGTGTCAAACATAGGGACGTTTTGTGCTATTGAGCCAAATACAAAAAGTTTGAAACGTAAAGACGTTTTCCACAATAAGTGTCAAACGTATGGACGTTTTGTGCTTAAACCTTTTAATAAAGCTTTTGAACTCACTTGCACTTTTTAAAAAGTTTGGGAGTATAATTATAATTTTTTTTTTTATTTATATAAAAGGGTACATTGGTCATTTTACACTAAAAACAATGAAAATGACTTTTTCGCAATGAAACGTTGAAATAAGGACAACAATGTAAAAAAATTAAACGCATGGACGTTTTGCACACTACATGCCAAAGTAGGGATATTTTGTACTATTAAGCCATTATTTTGGATAGCAACTGGGCATGTCAGTATCGGGGCAACATTTCCCGTCCCGTTAGGCAATTTTCCTTTCCGTCCTCACACCCGTTACCCGTTTAAAGCGGGATCGGATCCTTGCCTCATTTACTATTTCGTTTATTTTTTTTTAAAAAAAATTTATAATTCATTTTATTGTCATCATTCACTAAAATGAGACAATAATACATTTTTAAATTTTTTATTTATTTTTAAAAGTTAAATTATTTAAATATATTTGGAGTGTGTTTGGGACACATTCTTTTGAAGGAATGTATTATTAAATAGTAGATTTATGGAGAATGTGTGGTTAAAAATGAAGGAAAAGTTATTGATGTGATGGAAAATATTATTTTATTGAAAAATGTGTGGTTGAAAATGAGTAGAATAATGAAAATGAAAAAAATAATGTATACCAAACAGGGTCTTGGTAAACTAAGGTTTTTATTATTTGTCATATTTTTTAGATAATTTCAGTTGCCATTTTCTATTAAAACTAATGAAATTTCATAAAATTTTCATTTAAAATATTGAATTCGAAAATATGGGGGACGGGCCCCGTGGGTATCAAGTTTGTCGGATTTTTTTGCCATCCATATTCATTAGACTTAGATCCAGCTAAGATTTGCCTTCAAAACCAAAATGCTTATAATTTCATCTGGAAATATAATGTTTTGCTTAAACCCCCCAAATTAAATTATTAGTGATATTGGAAAAAATTTGTTCTTGCAATTTGAATATTCATTCGTTTACGATGAAATTTTAATTTAGAAGATGAATGTGGAAATAAATGGGCAAGAGGGAACGAGTTGAATCACATCAACTAGTGCTTGAGCTTTTGAGATGTTCCATATTGATGAGGCGAAAAAGCATGAATGCCTATTAATAGAATTTTGCTGTCAATTAAGAAAAGAACAAAATGTTCATGCGTCTTTTATATTTATTATGAAATTCAAGAAGATTGACCTATTTTGCACAAAATCATCCTACCTAGTTTACTAATTCATTTAGGTTAAAAATGGAAGAACGTTTGAAGATTTTTGTGTGTAATTGACATGATTAGTCTCAGCATAACCTAAAATTTGTATGTAGTTGACATCATTAATGACTTCACAACCCGCAAAGCTATTAATGCTTTTAGGAGCATGTTTGACAACAAAAATTGTTATTTTATAGGTCGGGGACTCATAAAATGTGTGAATCAAAATCCACACAACTTCGTGTCCCATAGCTTATAAGCTAGATAAGTTGAGAATTTTTAATTTATTTTCCTTATAAATTGACTTGTGAGTTTTGATCCACTAGTAGTTGCAAAGAGTTATGTTACGCCTCTTGTGAAAAGGTTCCAGATCATCACAAACGTGGCAACCAATTGAGTAAACCAACAAAGCTCGCACTCTACGTAATCTCTTGCCTGATCAAGGTGAGGCCATACAAGGTAGCCAAATTGACGGATTATTTCAGCCAAAGTGTCATGTCGAGGCCGACATTCCATGTCCAAGCCAAAGTGTCATGTATGCCGCAGAGTAGAAGTACGAGGCTCTTAGCCTCCACATTTACAAAATGCTTCTTTCAGTTCACATCTTCTCAAGAGATCTTTTGTATAAGATCCGCATATGATTGATTGATATGACAACTCACTACAACAATACTTTAAGGTCAAATTGTCAGTCTACATATTGAAAGTCAGACCAGGCAACATGGTGGCTACTTTTCAGAATCATTAAATATTGTTAGCCTATAATTGATAGAGTGACACTTAAAAGAAGACCTCGGCCATCAGGATGAGGTCATATGTCACTTCATCCAACGATTATCACTTCTCCTCTACTATTATAAAACCTCACACATTGTGTCATTTAAAAGTAATGCAATTTTATACATTCAAGCTCTAACCTTGCTCTCTCTATATTTACTTCATACCCTCTCAAATTTGACCTTTCAATACTTAGTTGCTCATGCTTATACATTGACTGTAGGGGTGCACGCGACCGCCTCTCCCCAATTCGAAGAAGATCACGTATGACTTATGATTTGTCCAAATGTACAGGACTAAAAACTTACGTGGACACGAGATGACCTAGGATTTGTTGGCCACGTGGAGGTACATTTTTTGAAATCAACAAGTTATGTGAAATCAACAACCAAATTTAGTATTGAAGTGTCTAACCCGACATTTACTGTGATTTATGGATATATGTCATGGATTTGAAGATTTGTATTAACAGATTCCACCTTGTCGTCATAGATTTGAAGATTTATGGGTGTATTAATGGTTTTGTGAAAGAATATAATGAATTTTCAATTCAGTTAGTTATGAAAGTGCGATACTGGAAAAAAAATGTGTTCTTGAAATTCGAGTTTTCGTTTTATTCACTATGGATTTTTAGTTTAAAAGATGAATGTTAAAGTAAATAAGCAAGAAGAAACGAGTTGAATCGTGTCAACTAGTGCTTGAGCTATTAAGAGGTTCCATATTGCGAAGAGAAAGTATAGTAAGAGTACCTAAAAGAATTTCGTTTTCAATTAAAAAAATGTTCTAATGAATTTAACATATATTATGAAATTTATGAAGATTGAACTATTTCGCACAAAATCATCCTAAATGATTCACGAATTCGTCTAGGTTAAAATTGGAAGAATGTTTAAAGGATTTTGTACGTAATTGACACGATTAATCTCAACGTAACTTAGAAAGTTGTTGATACTATTAGGGCAAACAAGATTTTATATGTAGTTGATGTTATTAATGACTTCACCCCGACTGAAATTATTAATGCTTTTAGGAGCATGTTTGATAATAAAAGCTGATATTTAATGACTTACGAATTCACAAATTGTGCGGCTTAACTTTGGATCCCGTAATTTAGAAGCTACATAGGTTGGAATTTTCTTACACGTGTTTAAAAATGGATGACAATTTATTTCACCGCAATGTACCCATTTGGTGCTTTGGTGAATAGTTAACGTTTTCAGATACATTTATGATAATATTTTCAGAGATGGTCATAAAAAAATTGTACTGAAATAAATTTTCTATTTTAATCAGACTAAAACTTGGGGCATAGGTTTGGGCTAATATTCTTATATGTGGGCCAAGTCTAATGGGCTTGTCTCTCGACTAGACACGTCTCACTAAAAATACAAGGGAAATTACAAAAACCAGGTGTTTAAAGACTGGTTTTTAAAAATCAGGTCTACAATTTATTTACTTAAAAATTAGGTACTATATTAAAACCCTAATTCATAACCTAATTTATCTCTCTCTCTCTCTCTCTCCATCATCTTCCATTCTCCCTCCTTTCCCTACCCCTACCCCTCTCTCCCTTGCCTCTCTCTGCGTTCGATGCTACTGCCGACAGCGTTGCGATGACGCTGCTCAGTTCGTGGCAGCGTCGCGACGTCGTTCGCACAGCAGAGTCGCGATGCTGCAAACTGCAGTA